CTTAAAAAGCTGGAAGATACGGGAATTGTGATAGCTGACATGAGAGATCAGGGCTACGATAATGGTGCCAAAATGAGAGGAAAGAACAGAGGAGTGCAGACACGGATCCGAGAGTTAAACCCTCAACCTTTTATTGTCCCACGCAGTTCTCATTCATTGAACATGGTGGTCATTGATGCAGCATCAGCTTTTAGTGAGGCTTCTGAATTTTTTAATGTAATTGAGAACATCTATGTATTTTTCTCTGCATCAACTCATGGATGGCAAATTTTGAAGCAACATCTGGGAACATCCTCTCTGACACTGAAACCACTGAGTGCCACACAATGGGAAAGTCGAGTGGAGGCGATAAAGCCTATCAAACACCAAATTGGGAAGATAGATGATGCCTTAGTTGCCATTATGGAGGATAATGCTATGACAGGAGCTGTTTGTGGGAGAACAGTGGCAGAGGGAAATGGAATCACCAGAATATACATAACTTCAAATTTCTGTGTGGCTTAGTGTTGTGGCATGACATACTGTTTGAAATAAATGTTGTAAGCAAGAGACTCCAAGGTGTTGACCTTGATATATCTGGAGCAATGGAACAACTGGACAAAGCAAAGTCATACCTACTGTCTTACCGGTCAGATGAAGGATTTCAAAACGTTCTGAAGAGTGCACAGAAGTTGGCAGAGGAACTTCACACTGAAGCTATTTTCCTACCCATTCAAGAATACAAGAGTCACCGAAGAAGAAGACATTTTGATTACGAGGCACGGGATAATCCCATAAGAGACCCCAAATAACAATACAATACAGTCAGTTGAAGAAAATTTCATGTAGCTCAAGGAACACAGCAGAATATTTGGGATGTTGTATGATATTCCCAAACTCCTCACTATAACTGAAGACTTACACCAGCAATGCAGGGCACTAGAGACAGTGACACATGATGACATGCGCGATATTGATGCAAGTGATTTAGGTGATGACTGAAAGCCCTTTCAAGATGCATTTCAGCAGGATCAACTCAAAGGCTGTTCTGGAATATATGTGCACAAATAAGATTACCACCCTCTTTCCAAATGCTTTTATTGCTCTGTGGGTACTTCTAACACTTCCTGTAACAGTTGCCAGTGGAGAACGTAGCTTCTCCAAGCTGAAGTTAACAACAACACATCTATGCTCTACAATGACGCAGGAGAGGCTGGTTGGCCTTGCAACCATCTCAGTCGAGCATGAGCTGGTCCAGACTGTGGACCTTCAGGAAGCAGTTCAAATCTTTGCAACCAAGGCAGCATGGAAAGCACCACTGTGATTATTCAAACAGATAAAAATGCCAGTGTTTACTATGCAGACAAGAAAAGTTAAGTGTTACTTAACGTTTTTGAATAAGGCATTTTAAGTTGTTAATTCTCCTTTATTGGGGCAGGTAGCAGAGCAGTACCATGAGAAGAGTAGAACAGGAAGAAGGCAGAAATGAGAACTTTCAAGTTTTGGCCCAAGCAAGGGGACATGGGGGCATCATTTGAGCTCCCCACCTCAGGAGCCAAAATATTGTGGGCTGGCCCTGATGAGTAAGGTGATTTGGGGTCCTTTGCAGTAGAAGGCACAGTAGAAATTTGAGCTATTATAGTAAGAACTGAACTCTTGTTTTATCTTAAACATAAAACTTGATTTTTTTTCAAAACCATATCAGTGTGAAAGAAAGTCATAAGTGTAATCCATGGCTGTTGGTACACTGTGACATCATATAAGGTGATGTGATGTACAAGAAGAAGTCCAGTTATATGAGACAGAAGATGGTGAAAGGCAGTTTCAAGATTTCTCAGTTCAATACTTGATATGAGCCAATGACCATTCTTTAAAATCCTCTATTGGCAGCCATCCTTGTTGCCAGCTGTCCTCGCACTTGGGGATGGGGATGCCATTCATGAAAGGACTAGGTGGGCTGGAGGGCAGACCTGTGGGAGTTTTGAGCTGGGGCTGCAGGAGAGGCCTAGAAAGCAGTCTGTCTGAGTGGCCACCAGGAGCTTGTAACTACATGTATGAATTGGCCAGGGCCCAAAGGGAAGGATGCACTGGATCGGTGACTGAGGTATTAATGCTGGAGGGGCACTGGGACTGTTTGTTTGCTGATAAAGGTGTGGAAGTGATTTCTGGGTTAGTTTCTGCCTCCCCCAAGGCTGTAGGAGGGATCTCCACCCCAAGTTAAGGGGTGGGAGTTTGAAAGCCACTTCCAGCAAGGGGGGTGTCATAAATATAAAGGGAAGGGTAACCACCTCTTTGTATATTGAACTATAAAATCCCTCCTGGCCAGAGGCAAAACCCTTTCACCTGTAAAGGGTTAAGAAACTAAGATAACCTCACTGGCACCTGACCAAAATGACCAATGAGGAGACAAGATACTTTCAAAGCTGGAGGGAGACAGGACGGACAAAGGGTCTGTTTGTCTGTGTGATGCTTTTGCCAGTAACAGATCAGGAATGCTTTTCATAACTCCTCAGAACTTCTGTTAAGTTAGTAAGTAATCTAGCTAGAAATGCGTTAGATTTCCTTTTGTTAAATGGCTGGTAAAATAGGTTGTGCTGAATGGAATGTATATTCCTGTTTTTGTGCCTTTTTGTAACTTAAGGGTTTGCCTAGAGGGATTCTCTAGGTTTTGAATCTGATTACCCTGTAAGGTATTTACCATCCTGATTTTACAGAGGTGATTCTTTTACCTTTTCTTTCATTAAAATTCTTCTTTTAAGAACCTGATTGCTTTTTCATTGTTCTTAAGATCCAAGGGTTTGGGTCTGTGTTCACCTATGCAAATTGGTGAGGATTTTTATCAAGCCTTCCCCAGGAAAGGGGGTGTAGGGCTTGGGGGGATATTTTGCGGGGAAGACGTCTCCAAGTGGGCTCTTTCCCTGTTCTTTGTTTAACACGGTTGGTGGTGGCAGCATAGGGTTCAAGGACAAGGCAAAGTTTGTACCTTGAGGAAGTTTTTAACCTAAGCTGGTAAGAATAAGCTCAGGGGGTCTTTCATGCAGGTCTCCACATCTGTGACCTAGAGTTCAGAGTGGGGAAGGCACCTTGACAGGGGGCGTTCACCACAATGGCTCTTCTAAACAGGTGGAAAACTTTGTGGGAAATGGGAGGAATTAGTAAACTGCTTATGTTTGTCTTTGCTACCATCTTTCCATAGCCACAATATCAGGTGCTATATCAGATGTGTAAATTACGGCTGGCTGTCGAGAAGAGACTCTTTGCTTTGGAGTTTTGGTGCATGCGTTTCCCATAGCTCTTTTGTTCCATGTTTCAAGTCACAATCCTGCAACTATCTGTGAGACTTCAGTGAGGCTCTGCACAGGGGCAGGGACCTGCCCATGCATGTGCAGTTGCAGAAGTGGGGACTCTCTCTCACACCTCATCCCACTCAAAGGGGACATTTTGGGGGTGGGACTTTTGTCGTGGAGCCTGGAAACTTGGTATTGCTCTTGACATCTCATCATTTGATGGCTGAAACCTCATTGTATCATGCAGTATATTTTTGGATGTATTCTATATTCATAAACGTGACATTTTATTCTGTGCCCTTTGGAACCAACTTCAGTGATAGTCAACTGAAACAAACCGAATACCAGTGTGTTGCCGAAGAACAGAGGTAACACAGATGGTTTAATATGAATTTAATTGCTCTGGTACACTATTGTCCCTCATAGTTAGATGTGCAATACACCATCTGACCCAAAACAGAGACTAGCGCAGCTATAGAAAGTGGTGATAGATAGCTATAAAAGCAAGCACATGAGAAAGCGATTAGGGATAGATTTTTCAAGAGTGCCTAAGGGTGTGTCAATGCAGCCTGTGGCACTAAGCTTCCCAGCCTGGGTTGACAGACTCAGGCTCATGCTATCATTCTAAACGTAGCTGTACGCTCCAGCCCGAGTTGCAACTTTGAAGCACGGTTTATACAGCACAAGCCCCGGCAGCCTGAGTCTGTCGACCTGGGCTGGGAGGCTTGCTCCTGGGGGCTGTGTAAATGTACCCTAAACAAGTTAGATGCACAAGTCCCAGGAGCATAAACTTCCATTACAATAGTATCTGAGTGCCTCACAATCTGTAATCTCATGATTTATAAACCAATCTCATGACTGTTGGGGGCCTGACTCATGGTTTTTGAACACTCCAGGGTTGCAATACTGTTGATTAATGTCCACAGGTCTTTTCAGAAGTGTTTTTTTTTTGGGGGGGGGAAGGGGGCTACTGGATGGCTGCCACATTTTTAACTCCTAGAAAAGTGTTAATGATTTTTTAAAAGGAACAAATAAGCAGTGTTTGGCTGAAACTCTCTGACCTCAATAGCAAATAATAAAGAACATAATTCAGTGAAGAAACATGAACAGGATTTTGATTGAATGTAATGTTTTGGGAACATGGAAAATAGCATGTAAATCTTAGCTGTGATATTTTGGCTATTGTTCTGTATGGTTAGTTTTTGGGACCTTCAGTTTTCAGGCCATCATAGATTAATCACTGACTAATGAAATTCAAACTTCTTTTGACGTTTGTTGCTATTGCAGGAAAGTAATCCCCAAGTGAACCAGGAAGTTCAGTGGAAATTACTATCTGTGAAGTTAACTTGTTTTTTGCTCAGGCGAGGTAGAATGTGAGTCCAGCAAAGTTCCCAAATGCAATTTCAAAACTGTGAAGCTGAAATTAAAGCAAAATGTGGTTGCTCCTACCTGCTACTTACTTTTTCAACCCACATACAGGCTTATATAGGCTTGAGGAACTGATCATGTGTGATCTGTGATGGAAATGGGAAGAAAACTGATCTCCAGCTACAACCAGCGCTGCCAATAAATATATTTTTTAAAGCAACACATCAAGTACATTTTCTGTCCTGGAAGCTGCACAAGAAATCCACTGGAAAACTTAGCTCTAAATTAGTACTAATCATTAGTACTAATCATCTTGCACAATGGTGGTAGAGTTTAGTGGATAAATAAAGACAAATCAAACCAAGGCCATGTCCAAAGTTATTTATTGTTCCAGCCAAAAGACGAAAACTTCCCCCAATGTGTAAACTGTTTTTGTAACAGTAGTTTCACAAAGATGTTTATATTTTAAAAATGTGGCACTGTAAATTTTCTAAATACACGTTTGTCTTGTGCTTCCATAATAAGTGTGCTTTCATTTCATTGCCCGTGCAAGATACATTGAAACTGATTCAAGGGAGTTACAAAAGGATTCAAAGATAGTTCAGGAGCCAAACCAGTATTTTAGCCATTCCCAGCTGTTATAGTCTCTTATTATATGATAGAACAATTGTATAAATAGCAGCCTGAGCATAGATAGTTAATTGTGGTTTACACATAAACGGAGAAATGAAGAAAGGGTAGAAACATTGGCTTGATTTCTGAGAGTTTGTTTTTAGTATGTTTTCTTATTGATAGTCCTATGAATTGTTTGCAGCTTTTAATTATTATTAATGAACTTCCATAAATCTTGGGTAGATTAAACTTGCTTCCAAATTTGCTAGCCAAATTCTATTATTATTTAGAAGCTGAGATATATGTTGAAATTTAAGCATGATTTATTTTGTAATTCAGTAAAACTTTAGATCTTTTAATAGCAGGGGACTCGTATTAGCGTCACCCTTACCTTATGCTGCCCATTAGTGGAAAAGTTCCAAATGTAAAAAGCACTTCTCAGAATTAGTAGACTGTGGGCCAAATCTTCAGTCTTTAATTGAGTAAATAGAGATTTTAATTACATTTGTCACTTCTGAATCTACTCTAAACTGTGGCCATCTTTCCAAAAAATGACAGCATTTGTGACTCTGGTAGCTGGGAACTTCTAAACCAGGGCTTGAACTTGGCTGCCTAAAACTAGTTACCTAAATCTTTATTTGTCCATCTATTGAATTCAATGGAAATCCAGACTTGTGATGCCAAAATGAGATGTCACTCACAGCAGAGTGTGCAGATCTTCATAATATTGTCTTTATTGTGTGATTTGATCAGCAGTTAAATAGTTAATAATGTAAATATATTTTATACTGGGGTTCAGAGCTAACACCTCACTGAGATCATTGGTAACAGTCCATACCTTTCAGAGCTATTGTTTCAGGCTGTTTTCTGACCCAGACAGACACAGCTCTATTAGTGGATTTGCATTTTGAAGATTTTTGGGCACCTATACTTGAAATTGTTGGCCTTTGTTTTAATATTAAACATGCAAGTTTGTTCCGTGATTGTTATACTGGTCATCTATAGAATAGAATAGAAAAGCAATTTGGAAACTTTTTTAGCAAGATGGCTGTCAACAGTGTGTGTCACTGAAAGAGCAAGCAGGCTGAGAGAGCACAGTTGAACAGAGTTGCCAGGTGAACCCTCGACTGTATTTTTTCCTATGTTGAAGGAACTTTCCAGTGCTTCCAAGAAGAGTACTGATTCTGTGAAGCTACTGCATTGACAGGTGACATGCCTAGCAACACAATGAATTATTGACAGGAAGCCTCTGTTCACCTGCGGTTTATAGAAGGTTCAACAATCTTTGGGCGCTGCACAAATAGGACTGGCTCTTGGAGACCGTGCCTGTCGATGGAGTCCTCTCGTATCGTTTGTACCTTTATCATGAAGGACAATAAAGCACTCTCTTGCCAGGCTGACGTGGTGAAAAATGAGGTATGAAGCTACAATATGTGTTTGTGGAGAGTGGAGATGTTCATCTGGAGAAGAAAGGGAAGAAAGTGGGGTTTTTTTTTTAAGGCACTCTTATTTCAGGACTACTTAGAATTGACGCTGACAATTGTTTATCCCAAGGAAATATTATCAGATCTTGTGAGAGGAGTAACAGTGGAATCTGAAATTCTGTGTTTCTCCACAGAACAAGTACAACATAGAAGACAGCAATGTAAGTCTCCCCACGCTTCTTATCCAGTGAGCCTCAGCCATGACCTGGAGGAACAATCACTTATGCTATTTTAAATCTTGGCCTCTGTGTTACTGCTGACAAGTCTGTCAGCTGTGATGGTGTTTTTCTGATGTGAACGTTAGTCTATTAGGAACGGGACTCACTCACCAGCTCATTCCAAGTAGGCCACGAGGGCCTATGATAGTGACTTTCAATCACTACCAGCTGGGGTCAGATTAAAACTGGTGACTAGCGAAAGGCCTTGAATCTCACTATCAAACTCATGAGTAGAGCTGGCTGGAATGTTTTGATTTTAGTTAAGTTTTTGTTCTGAAGGGGTGTGTGTGCAAGGGTGAGAGAGAGACTGAGTCTCTCTGGCTTGGTGGTTAGATCACTGCTGTGAGATTTGGGAGATCCAGGTTCCCCACATCAGACACAGAAACACTCAGGTTTTGATCTGAACATCTACTTTTAAACACAATTCTGTTTTCGTGCAAATGTTCAAAAAGTCTTGTTTAGCTGCATAATGGATTTGGTGTCCCCTGAACAGCTCTGCTTGTGAGCAATTCAGCTTCTATTACACATTAATTAATTAATGTTAACTGTCATGAGAGTTAAAGTAATAGCTAACTAATCGATACCATAATGGCAAGGATGGGAGCAGATTAACCTGCATTGCTAAAGATGTCTAGCCCTGAGAGTTTTTACGGTATATTGACTGATTAATATGGTAATGTAATAGTGCTCATTAACAGTGCTAATTAACTGGAATAGTTAATAAAGCATCATGCTAAACTTTTTCTTTAAAAAATTAGAATTCCTTTGAAAAGTTCAATATTTTCATGGTTACACAATTATCCAGCAAATCAGACTGTTGACTGTATAAAAAAGAGCCCAAACACTATATATATATTTTTTTTTAAAAAAAGAAAAGGTTAAGATCTTCATTTACTTAGTCCTATGAAACAGAGCCCTATAAATTTCACAAGAAAATCTCTCGTGTTTTTTTTTCCTCTCAAGATTTTTCCTTTTTTAATTTGTGTGTGTGAGGTTGTTTCTTACCTGGGCAATGAGCTAAGTAAAAGTTTGACTCCCTTTACATTTATTAGAATCAACATGATTGATCTCTGAGATTTTTCTTCAGTTTTATTGTAAAGCTGTTCCATGCATTTCAAGGCACAATAAGCTTGTATATAATCAATACCATAGATATTACTAGACACTTAGTGTCAGACACAGGACAAAAATATGTTTCAGTCCTTGCCATCTAGATGGTAGCAAAAGCCAGTAATAGCAGATACATAATGATTTGTAACATGAGATTTTTTTTCTTTCAAATGCCATGAACTTTACAGAGTAGCTATTTAGTGTATCTTTTTTTAATTGCTGTCTCAGGAATGAAAAGGCGAAAACACATATGAATTGTAAATCCTCTTTCCTGATTCCCCTACAGTACAGAGTTCAGATCAACAGCACTATTCAGTATTTTTAAACTTTGTTTTCGACTTCACTGCTCTAGTATATTTTTGTTGCTCTGTTTATTTATAACAATTTTCTATAGTTTATAAATGTCTTCATTTACTTTGATAACATTTTTTTAAATGGCCCTGATCCAGCAAAGTACTTAAGCTCATGCGTAACTTTAAGCACTTGACTTTAATGGGACTACTCACTTGCTAAAGTGCTTTGGTGGGTCTGGGCCTATATGACTGTATATATACTTGAATTCAGTCTAATTCTTCCTATATTTGTCAGGGATCTTTTGTATCTAGTAAGAGCCACTTCACCTCTTAAGTAGAAATTTTGTTTTTTTATTATTTTTTAATCTGAAATTTTGTGTTGGTGAAATGAGCTGGGTTGACAGCTCGGGAGACTGAAGTCTTTCATTTGCCCCCAGAAAAGGTACAGCACAAGCAACAGGAATGCAGGTTCCCTGCCCTGCACCCTGATTCAGAGAGACCATCTCTAAGAGGGAGAGCGAAGCTCAACTTCCACATTCATTTGATCTCCTTCCTTAGAAGTTTTTAAGGTCAGGCTTGACAAAGCCCTGGCTGGGATGATTTAATTGGGTATGGGTCCTGCTTTTGAGCAGGGGGTTGAACTAGATGACCTCCTGAGGTCCCTTCCAACCCTGATATTCTATGATTCTATGATTCTCTTTAGCGAGTGTGCAAAGAAGGGTGCATAGGCCTTACATCACCAAAGCACTTATGCATGTGGTTAACTTTAAGCATCTGAATACTCCCATGGGACTTAAAGCACATGGTTGAAGTTAACCACATGCTTAAGTGGTTTGCTGAATGGAGGTATTAATTCTGGTGGTGTTTCATTGATGTGGATGCCTCTCCTGAGACCACCACGTTCGGGATTTTAAAAAGTAAGAGCAAACAGAAGGGCCAAGATCCTTACTTTGGCACCCAACTAAGTGGCCTGATTTTTCAAAAGGGTTCAGCGCCCAGCAGTTCCCACTGAAATCAGTGGGAGTTTTTGGATCTTCAGTACTTCTGAAAATTAGGCAGGTGCCTAACTGTGGATTTAGGATCTTAACTTTTTGCTCTACTTCTGAAAATTTTCACATGAGCCTAAAATGTTGCTGGCAGAGGATACCAATTTTCATTATGGCCTGAGCCAAATTCATTCTAATGACTTAGAAGTAACACATTTGTTTTTCCCTGACCCAACCAATCCCTTCTGATTAAAAATTTCAAGTGAGATACTGGTGGTTTTTACTTTAACATAAGTTTACCTTGGAATCTAATTTGATTGTAGACATATTCTTAGAGAGATCACTTATCATTCAGCAGAACTATGTATAAGTATAAAATGTGAGTTTTGATAATGTATACTTTTTTCCCACCTAAGAGCTTTATGTACTGTACATGTCAAATGGATCAATCAGCACAGTATGCTATAATCCTTTCATTATGGGTGGTGCTTGGAAAATGACAATCCCAATCCCTGCATCACAAGTCATTTAACATAGATCTGTCAGTGAGGACCTCAGGCCCTCATGTTTCAGCAGATCCCTGCTACGGCAGGAGGCAAGGGATGTGGAAGTGAGGACACTTGCCTCAATACCATGCATCCTTGTTTTCCCAGGCCCTGTGGAAGTCCAGAGTGGTTCAGTTTTAACAGGCTGGAATGGATGGGATGGGACCAGTAGCTCCCCATCAGTTCCTCCCATTCAATCTGCAAATGATGCCACCACAAATAACTTCAAACAGAGGCCACAGTCACTTGAGAGGCTTCCTTTTTATGGCTTGGGAATGCGGCTGAGGTGGATTTACCCCTTTCCTCCAGCAGATCCTATGAGAGCTGCAGGTTTGGGGCTGGAATCACTGGCATCTTCACTGGGAGGCAAAGGAAGGAGCTGGCAATTGTGCCCATCTGACAGAAGAATTCAAAGCAGATTACACAAAATGAAACTCTGAATTTTGACTCTGCTGTGTGGGTTATTCTCACATTAGGGGGGAATGGGCCAGAAGTGAGATGTGCATTTGTCAATTTGCTTAAAATAGAAAAGTAATTTCACACCCGTGAGATGAAATACATACTTTGCCGGGTTTTAGAACAGAGTTTGTCTTTTGCTATGATAAGTGTTACATCTACATGCCATCTGGGGTATCAACATACAGTAAATCTCTGAGAGAATCATCATAGAAGTGTAGGACTGGAAGGGACGTCGAGAGGTCATCTAGTCCAGTCCCCTGCACTCAAGGCAGGACTAAGTATTATCTAGACCATCCCTGACAGGTGTTTGTCTAACCTGCTCTTAAAAATCTCCAATGATGGAGATATCACAACCTCACTAGGCAATTTATTCCGGTGGTTAACCACCCTGACAGTTAGGAAGTTTTTCCTAATGTCCAACCTAAACCTCCCTTGCTGCAATTTAAGCCCATTGTTTCTTGTGCTATCTGCAGAAGTTAAGAACAGCAATTTTTCTCCTTCATCCTTGTAACAACCTTTAACATACTTGAACACGGTTATCATGTCCCCTCTCAGTCTTCTCTTCTCCAGACTAAACAAACCCATTTTTTTTCAATCTTCCATCATAGGTCATGTTTTCTAGACCTTTAATCATTTTTGTTGCTCTTCTCTGGACTTTCTCCAATTTGTCCACATCCTTCCTGAAATGTGGCTCCCAGAACTGGACACAGTACTCCAGTTGAGACCTAATCAGCGTGGAGTAGAGTGGAAGAATACTTCTCGTGTCTTGCTTACAATACATCTGCTAATGGTGAAGCAGGACTCAGTTACGCTATAGTCACCCATACAAGTGATTCTGAAAATCCAGTGGAGTTTGAAGTGGTGGGTGGGAGAGAGGGAAGATGGATATATTGTTAGTGTCTACATTTTTAATATTTAGTTTAAATTTTTGTTCAGGGGCATGAAACACAATCCTTTAAACTAAACGAGAGATCCTTAGGCTCTTGCATTAGAATCATAGAATATCAGAGTTGGAAGGGACCTCAGGAGATCATCTTGTCCAACCCCCTGCTCAAAGCAGGACCAATCCTCAATTTTTGCCCCAGATCCCTAAATGGCCCCCTCAAGGATAGAACTCACAACCCTGGGTTTAGCAGGCCAATGCTCAAACCACTGAGCTATCCCTCCCCCCAAAGGAGGGATAGAAGAATTTAGTTCACAAAGTCCAAATCTGTGTCAAATAGTTCCCCCAACTGTCATTAATGTCATTCCCTTTCCTCACAGTCAATGGTGGATTAGCCACTGGGCCAATGGGGCCTGTGCCCAGGGGCCCTGGCCAATTGGGGAGCCCCAGAAAAATGGGTGTCCCCACACCCTAACCTGCTCCGCCTGCCTGGTGCTCCAGCCAGGGAGTGGGATCGGAGCCCGGGGGCTTTCCCTGCTCTGCCCACCCTGCACGGGGGGCAGGTGGGTGGGCAGAACGGGGCAAGCCCCTGTGCGCTGATGCCACTCCTCAGCTGGAATGCCAGGCGGAATGGGGAAAGCCCCCGACCCCACTCCCCAGCAGGAGTGCCAAGCGTGTGGAATGGGGCAAGCCCCTGTGCCCCGAACCATTTCCCTGGCAGGAGCACTGTGATAGGGGTGTGTGTGCAGGGGGGAATCCCAGGGGCCCCACAAAACCCTAATCCGCCCCTGCTCATAGTGAGAGTCCAGCTGTATTTTCTTCTATTGTATATGATTTGCATCATGTTATCAGAATGATGTCACATAGTATCAGAATTTCAGAAGACAAACCATCTTCAAAACTGCCTGACAGCAAAGATGTATTGAGAAAAGAAAATACTGAAATACATTTTTCCATTGTATCTGATTTAGAAATCCCCACTAGATACAAAATAAGGGTTGTTACACCTCAGCCTCTTGAATACAGCAAGGCTATTTGGAGCAAGTCTGAATTAAGACTCTAAGATTTAGTGCCACCTCCTGCTCGTGCCTTTCCAGTATTATTAAAAGAAAATGGTATATACTTTCTCCTAGTGGGAAACAGAAAGGGTGACTAAAATCATTGTCATGTGATCAGAAAGTCACTTTATACATATGGAAATTTCTTTTTAAAGTTATAAATAGGGTTTCCGCTTTCAAATTTCAATGCCACTCAGCAAAAAATTTCAAAATAGATTTTGATGAAACGTACACCAAAAATACCCCAAATCGTAAATTTGTGCATTGTTGAAAATTGTTTGCAGATGGAATCTGTGATCCTAACAGACCTACCAGTCTCACTATGCCTTTGAACCTGCAAACTCTTACACCTGTGTGTAACTTTGCTCACACAAATTGATTTCAGAGGGATTGCTCATGTGCATAACGTTACTCACGTGTTTAAGTATTTGCAGGATCAGGGCCTAGAAGTTCAACTCCCAGAGTGGCCAGCTTTGTTGTAATTTAAGGAATACCATTTTTATTCCTAAAATAATACACCAGAACTTGCCTTAAAATAAACATGGAGGGTCAGGTCCTCAGGTGGTATAAATTCATGTAGCTCCATTAAAGTCAGTACACCTATGCCAATTTACACCAGCTGATGATCTGACCCAGAAAATGTGGGTGCAGAAAAATGAACATGAACCAGAAACCCCTGCTATACAGGAAAAAGACTGAGAGTTGCACGATAGTCATCTGGAAGAGGTCTATACAAAGAAACTGCTCCAGCGTACCTAAGCTAGAGTACTCTCGTGTACTCTAGCTACCTAAGTAGGCAGAATCTAGCAGTATGAAAAGTTGCTGAAATATTGCATATATCTTTGAATATTGTCACTATCTCATCAATTTCACAATAGATTTTAAGAAAAAGATCCCTTACTGTATTAGTGAAATACAGAGAAATAGGAGCTTTGGATGGATTTTGGTTGCTTATGTAGCTAGCTACTCACATAAAAATGTCACATTATTTATGTTCCTTAAATTTGATTTGCCAACAATATTACTGGGCATTGGCATTTCCAAATATATTGTTTTAATAAGAGCATGAGTCAAAATTATCAGGTAAATGTATATACCGTAGTAATGAAAAACACCACTCAGTACGGTCAGCTTTGAAAATCCATTGTTAATTAACAGCATTCAATTCTTAATTGTTTTTAACAGTTCAGTTGAAGTTGTTGACACAAAATACATTGTTAAACTGCTTAATCAATCATTGTAGAAAAATAGAGGTGTTTGATAGGGACATTATAGTACAAAGTTTCTGTGAAGCTTTCCAGTTGAAACCCTTGGAGACTTTTTGTTTTTAAGCTTACATTACAAAAATGAGAGTTTTTGTAAACTTTACATTTCATATCACATTAATAGCAAAGACAACCAGAGACAGAGAGAGACCTTATGCTTTAAGTGCCCTAGTCACAAAAATATAACTTACCCATGCACATGCCCTAATAGCATAAAGTCTATTTTTTTGTACTAAAGGGCACAAAAAGGTTTAAAAGCCGCTGTTTTATTGAACACGAGAAGCTCTTCTTAAACTGCAGCGATGGATTATAGACGGGCCCAGTAAATCACAAGAGCAAAAAGCAGATTAATCCTATGAGGAGTTCTCTGCTTTAAACTCATGTACTCTGCTCTAGGACTACAGGCTGACACACACAGACCAAGCCCCCTCCACCCCCACAGGTGGTGCTTCATTACTTTTAGCAAGTATCTTTGCTACGGGGCTCTCTCCCTTAGAAGACTATCTCTGATGTGCGACTAGTGTTCTCCAATGAAATTTCAGAGTCACTCCTCCTTTAAAACACCTTAAGAAGCACACATACACCCTGCTCTACTGTGTGAATTCCTTGGCTCTCAAGAACAGCCTAAAAAACAGGGTGTGCTGTATAAACCGTAGTACTGAGCAGGTTCTGACACCGTGTCAGTAAACAAAGGGTACCATTGTATTTTAAAAGAGTCTGTAGCAAAACCAGTTTTTGCCAAACTAAATGAAAATAAGCAGCAATCTGTAACTACCTGATGAAATCAGTCATCCTAGTGGAGGGGATGAAAATATATCTTTTGAACAATTGCTTAAATTGTGGAATTGTACGAGTAGCTTCTTTGTGAAAACCTGTTCAGGAAAATTTTCAAAAATAAAGCAAACACGAGGCTTAGCTGTTTTGATTGGTGTGATCCAGGTGTGCAAAACCTCCGCCTGGAGACCATCTTAGCTGTAGGGGCCAAATCAACTCTTAACGACTCAATGAAAATTAAGGATGGGCAATTGTGTTGCAGTAAAAACAGTGTATAGATGTGAAATTAATGTGAAGGATATATCACAGTGCAAAATTTCCACCTGTCCACTAGGTTTCTCCTGAGGTTTTTTCCTTCTATTTGAATTTAAAAGCTTCTGTACAAAAAAACCCCTTTAAATTCTTTTCAGTGTATTTTTCCTTTCCAGACTAGGCAGGTACCAAAAGAAAATTAAGGCTGCAGTTTGTTTTTCTCCTGACTGAGGGAAATGGTACTCTTTATGGGCCAGAGCCAAAGCCCGTTGAAGTCTATGGGAGTCTCTTACTTGAATTAATACTATTTTATGCATACTGGGCCTGATGCAACAATCCTTACATTGAGTAATACCATACACTGTGAGTTACCTCACACTGAGTGCTTTTGAGAAGTTAGGTACTACTCTATGCGCAAGATCCTCAGCTGGTGTAAATCATGCAAATCATCATAGTTCTGTTGCATCAAATCAAAATTATTCAAATCAGCTGAGGATTTGGCCCAATATGAGTAAAGGTGGGAGGGTCTACTCATTTGAATAGAGATGTTAGGAGTGGGCTTTTATATGAGAAACCCTGACGAAAATTACCTAGGGCCAGAAAGCCTGTTGGGAATTTTCAGGACCAACAAAGTGCTAATGATGTTAATGAATGAATCTCATTGACGACAACTTTAGATGAAATTCAATTATGTCTTCCCAGACCAAGTAGTTAAAAGTGTTCCCTACTTACCTATGAATAACATTCAGAATTTTTAATGGCTTATGCTGTTTACATAGAAAACTACATAGTTTTAATCCAATGGTTTGGGGAAAAATAGAATAGTTTCCTACGGTAGTGCACTTACAGGGTCCTAGCCCAACATGAACATGCTCTTTGTATTAGCAGCATACCGGAGATGCTTGTGTTTTCCAAGAGTCTGCCACAGTCTAATTCAGGCTGAACTGCCAAAAATAGCCAGGAATGGTTTACCCTGTAATATTACAAAAGATAGAATCATTTTTGTAAACAGTTTCACAGTATCTCAGTAATGTTTCAATTTCTCCACCCTGCCCTCCCCCAGACTTTTATGGCTTTTGAGAATCCGTAAAATGATTTGTTAGGGAGACAGTGAGGGCTTCTAACTAGCTGCCGGTCTGGTACACTGAAGAAAATGTTGGGCACGAAAAGGGCCAGATATATAGGGAAGAAGCTAACATACTCCAAAGATTAAACCAGAAATGCCGATTCAATTTTTTGCATCCCAATATTTCTAGACTTATGTATCGAAACCTACATTAATTACACATCTCTGTACATTATTTAGAAGTTCTTTACTACAGTACTTTTGTACATGCTGGGTTTATTATGAAATTTAAAGAGCAAGTAATTACATAAGGCATATGTACAGTATCCTGTTGAGCTGCAGCTCTTTCTGCTCACCTCAGTCTTAAAGCTGCAATGCCCATTTTCATTGGAGGCATCACATCCTGTTTATGAAACTATCTTCAAATATATAAAAATTAGAGCCAAGGCCCATAGCATTAACAAACATTAATCAGTCTTTTTCCTTTTATTACCCCAGATAATGAGTTTTTCCCCCTCCCCCCCCCTTTTTTGGTTCCTTTTTAAACACACCTGTGGTGGTGAACTTGTATTTATCCAGAGGAAATATGCAATTATTGGAAGGGCAGTGATCAGAGATTTCATTGTATGTAAGGGATATTGCAGCTTTAACTCATGTCTTTGCTTATTTTAGGAATCACTTGATTTGTTTGGGCAGGTAGACATGTCAAACCTTAAATATTTCTTTTCTTGTCATAATAATAAAAAAGGGAAGGATCAAAAAGAAAAAGAGGTTGTGTGGTGAACCTCTGCTGGTTCAAACTTTGGATTCATTCTCTAAATTTGCCACATCACCATTCCTTTCGGTTTGGTCTTCGTGGTTCTTTCCCCTCTCTTCAGTTTCCAGGTCAGTGTGCTGGTTTAATTTGCTGGACACAGACCAAGTCAGGGGCAGTTCTGCTCGGCTGGCCATCTCTGCCAGTTCTTTGGCACTGTAAGACGGTGTGTTGGTCTCGTATGTTTCATGAAAGCTGTTGTAGTCAACTTCATAAAATCCATCCTCCAGCGTGAGGACAGGTGTAAAACGATGACCCCACAGGATCTCACTGGTTACATAAGAACTTCGAGCTTGGCATGTCATTCCTGTAAAGAGAGAGAGAGAGAGAGAAAATTGTAATACGGACCGAGTGCCCCAAAATGATTCTTGTCGTTGTAGTTTTACATAGCCGAGTGGTTTGTATTTAGTACTGCATGATAGAAGTGATATGCCAGACAAGTCACAAGTTCACTGCCCCTTGACAATTAAAACTAAGCAAAAATTCGCCATGTGTCATTTGACAAACTTTACCTTTATTTTTTGTGGGTATGGTCCACAAAATTCTCACATTTATTTGTTTAGTTGGAAGTAGTCTTGAATTTCATCAGCAAATAATTCTCAGGGTGCAGATGAGTCACAGTCAAATTGCTGAGACGAGTATTCATGTTTATTCTGTTCCCTGATGGAGGACTTGTGTAATTAACTCTGCCTAGATTAGCTGAAGAACTAATACAAAAACCTTTACTCTGGTTGAGCTGTCCACTGAGAGTCTGACACAGGGACCGACTTTGTCTTGCCCAAAGGTTTGGGACACCCTTAAAGTTAAGTCACTCTGAACCTCAAACTGACAGTCTACTCCGAAATTTTAGCAAATCTCTCAAGCGTACGTTATGAAAATTTGTGGCATTGGATGGAAAGGATTGGGATAAACTTCTGCCTTAACTTTTCTTCACAATACGGCTTCCACTGGGACTTTTGCCCTTTGGAATGCTCGAAGGGGCATCAACCCTAAGGAATCCTATGGATGTTGTTAAGGAAGCTTGGGGAAAGCAGCCAAACCAAGTTCAGACTATAGTTCTGCATGTCCTCTAGATGAGGAAACGTCCGTCCACAGTGTAGAGATTTTCTCAGGAGAACCTACCTCAAACCAAACTGACCAGAGGAAGGCACTGTAATAAAGGATTATGGGAAAGGGACATACTGGTTGTGGTAAGGGACAGGAAAAAGTGTAAGGAATGGGGGATTGAAGGTTATAAAAACATTTTCCCAAAAAAGTGGGATTATGAGGCTAGGATATAGCAGTTTCCCTTAAATTATTTCCACATTGCACAATTTTTGAATAACAGTGGTCACACAACTAATATAATATGGCAAGAAAACATAATGAATAGCAAGATCATGTAACTGAAGAATGAAAAGTGAAACTATTTAGGAGATAATCATAGGCAATAAAAAAAAGAATGTTGAGTTTGGAGATAATAAAATGCAATCTTTAGGATCTCACATTGCACCTCTGCAGCTGCTCCTGCCAGTCAAGTCACTCAGGGAGTTTCAGGACGTACATAAGCTCGTGGCTGGGTATTATTCTTTCCAGGGATGTCCACATTGCCTTAGACAAAATAATATTGTCCCTACCCCCTTTGAGCCTTCTCTCCAAGCTCAAGCAGAATCATTGTGGAGCTCTGAAAACATTGAGTTGACCTCTGTACTATATCATTACTTTTTATTTCGCTGATCTTGTTTGCCAGTAAAAAGACGTTGACTGACCCTTGCCACACGGTGGTACTTCTGCAGCATTCCCTGTATTTAGAATTGCAAGTAGCTGCAGCATTTCTGCTGCTGCAGGGGGGGGTAACTGTGGGTAACTGTTTGCATGATGACTGCTGTACCTCTGTTACCCTTCCCTTTTTTCCCAGCTAGGAGTAGCACCAGAGGTGCTGAAATATCACACGAGAGGTTGGTTTCACGGTTTGCTACCCAACAACAAGAAGAGGGACCCTAGAAGTCTTACAAGATATCCTGTTCTAGGGAGATTTCTTCTGCAATTTCAGTCTAAAGCGGGTCGTCTACTTTTTGATAATTTTGCATCAAACCATTTGACTGCTCATTTGAACTGAACCTCCAGATATTTGGAGAGTCCCCATCATTCATCCGTTCACACTTCATGAAGACTTCTCAGTGAAACGAAAGGCAAAGTGTGGAGATGTGTCATCTTCAATTTTTCTGTTACCCAGTGAGTGAAACACAAACCTCCCCTGTTCAGCCAAGTGGGGGAAAGAAAGAAAGAAAGATTTGGGTTTTGTTTTGGTCATGGGGTGGGATGAAAATGAGGTTGCTTCATCCAGGTTGCCTGGGACCTTCATAGGGAGTGAAGATCTGAAAACCAGAGACAGGATCAATGAGCAGGGAAACTGATCAACTGATATTCTTTAGGGTTTATCTGCTACTTTTCACTTCTGTTCCTGCAATTTGAAACTCGATCTCTTGAGTTTCTGGACTATGTTTCTAGTCCTCCAGGAATATGAACCATGGGAGATTCTTAGTTAAATTTTAAAGGCGGGGGGAAAAATTAATCCACAAAAGTGTCTGCAAACACTTACAAGAAACTGCTTAAAAGAAAACGGCCATTATGGAAAAAAATGGAGTAGTTATACATGCAGATGCCCCCTTTCAATAGGCAAATCTGAGGTTTTTTTCGAGCAACCACATGCATTTTTGTGGTCTACGCAACTTTGAATACGTGGCCCTGTAGTAGGGTGACCAAATTTTCCAAAGGGAAAATGGGACACCGCACGGGGCTGGCCCGAGACACTTGCCCAAGCCCAGCCTCCCGCCTCCCACAAGGTTGTTGCTGGTTGCTCCAGCCCTGCCCCCCCTCCCTGTGCTGGGCTGGCATCTCCACTCCCCCACCCATGTTTCTCAGCACTGCACCCCCACTTTTTTGACAACTGGCAAGAGCAAACGGGACAAATGCCCACTTTTGCCAAAAAAAAAAAAGGTCAGGATGGCCAGGACAGGGCTTAAAAAAGGGACTGTCTCAGCCAAAATGGGACATATAACCACCCTCCCCTGTAGCATTTCATGTATCTAAACTGATCTCTATTGGTAGTTGTGAGTTTAAACTATGATATTTGACTGTTTACTGACATTTGTTTCAAATCATGAGATAGCAAGTGAGGCAGCCAGATTATGCCACTACTCCTTCTGCTTCACAACGTTACCATCTTGGGCCCTGATCCTGCAGTGAGCTCTGCAGGGGCAGATCCCCAATGCCTACATAGAGCCTCATTGATTTCCATTAGGCTCTGAATGGGTGAAGCCTTGGTTTTTACACTGATAGCAACACAAGTTTCAGCTGGAAATGATGCTCTGCACTTTCCGACCCTAAACTGCTTTCAGTGTATGTTGCTACCAGGGTCTGCCCCAATGACAGCTGTGCTTTTCAGTGGTGGGCAATTCCTGTATATGGTTTGCAAAATGTTTAAGAGCTCTTTGGTGTGAAGGGTGCAATATAAATGAAAGTTATGTCTAGGAAAATGTATGGAGACTAGCAGATTCTTTTTATTCGAGATAGGATACAGAAACAAGAAGGGGAAAGCATGTGCACTTGGCTTCATCAGCCACGCAGATCAGATGAATCTGTGATGAGTAATTTTGTTGTTCTGTTTACACATTGTGGAGTGACCGCCGAATTGTAAAGATAACCAAGAACTAATATAATAAGGAAATGAAATAAAACGAACAAACACAATTGCATAAGTGAAGAACCAAAAATTGCAGCTATCTACAGAAAACATTAATGGGAAAATGTAGAGTTGAATTATTAAAGTTTTCTGCTCATAAAAGCATGTGGAACAAAAGTGGACTTGATTGCAGGATGGCCATATGAGGAGAGTTATTCCTGCTTTCCTTGGTATACAGCATATTTAACTGATCTGGTCCATGATAATTTTCCAGGTGTCATCTTCTGTCTGAGACCATTGCTTAATGAGCCACATTATCGTTCTCAGACTTTCTCTTGAATGCACCCTCTTTCCCATGTTTTCATCTTGGGGCAAGTCTACACTACAGTGCTACATTAGCGCAAGTGCAGTGGTGCAGCTGTGCCCCTGTAGCGTGTCTGGTGAAGATGCGCTATGCTGACAGGAGAGAGCTCTTCCATTGGAATGATTACTCCACCTCGGTGAGAAGTGCTGGTGTGGACAGCGTGAAACTTGCATTTTGTGTGTGTGTGTGCGCGTGTGCATTTTCACACCTCTGAGCAACGTAAGTTAGATCAACTTAAGCGGTAGCGTAGACCTGCCCGTAGTTGGCCCGATGTGTCCACTCACATTAGGTGTCTATGGATATGGGTTAAAAGCATAGCAATCTTCTCATGTACAGCAAATGTCATTCTGGGATGTTTTAGCAGGAGTGTTGTAAGCAAGACACGAGAAGTAATTTTTCTACTCTACTCCTCTCTGATTAGGCCTCAGCTGGAGTATTATGTTCAGTTCTGGGTGCCACATTTCAGGAAAGATGTGGACAAATGGGAGAAAGTCCAGGGGAGAGCAACAAAAATAATTAAAGGTCTAGAAAACATGCTCTATGAGGGAAGATTGTAAAAATTGAGTTTGTTTAGTCTGGAGAAGAGAAGAGTGAGGGGGGACATGATAACAGTTTTCAAGTACATAAAAGGTTGTTACAACGGGGAAGGTGAAAAATTGTTCTCCTTAACCTCTGAGAATAGGAGAAGAAGCAATAGGCTTAAATTACAGCAAGGGTGGTTTAGGTTGAACATTCAGAAAAACTTCCTAACTATCAGGGTAGTTAAGCAGTAGAACAAATTGCCTAGGGAGGTTGTAGAATGTTTGTCATTGGAGGTTTTTACTAACAGGTTAGACAAACACCTGTCAGGGATGGTCTAGTTATTATGTAGTCCTGCCTTGAGTGCAGGGGAGTGGACTAGATGACCTCTTGAGGTCCCTTCCAGTTCTACACATCTATGATTCTGTGATTCAAGCAGTTGCAACTGGATCTGAAGAACTGAGGGGAAGAAAAACCTCCATCAGGAGTTAGAGACCATCTGTGTATTCTTGGTAGGAACTGAAACATAGGCAGTCTGGCCTAATGGGCAGAGAAGGTGTCAGGTCTAGTGGGCAGAGCAGGCATACAGGTTGGGGAACGGAAGAGTGGGTCAGAGCCAGAGTCAACTGCCAAATACCGGAATCAAGGGGTTAAGTCAGACTCAGGGCCAGGAATCGATGCTGAGGACTGAAGTCAGGATTAAATATGAATGCCAGAGCCCAGGGTTGAGCCAGAATCAGAAGTCAGAGCTGGGGTCAGA